GTTGGTCTAGCAAAAGTTATGTAACTTTAACTGCGGATAAAAGTTTCCAAACAAAAGCACACTATAACAAGCTTGCTTCTATGTACATGAGTTGGTTTCATTTAACATCAGTTGTTATTTAACTGTAGTTTTTTGTTAATGTAAACTTAATATTTAATTTATTGTAACAATGTTTATTTATTTAAAATTATATGTATGTATATGTATATAGGCCTATACATATATATTATAGTATATATAAGCCTATATATTATATATAATTTATTTATAAACTTCGATTGATTGTACATTAAAAAATTATCTTTGTATATGTGTTACAATTCCCGAGTGATAAACTGATGTATACTAGCACTAACTGGTTTTTGGTGTAATTAAACAAAGCATTTCGTATTATATATATATATATATATATATATATATATATATATATATATATATATATATATATATATATATATATATATATATATATATATATATACATATATATATATATATATATTGAAGTCTACAGTTTGCGAGATGTTTGCGTGTACTAGTTGTGAGACATTTGACGTGTAGAACTTGTAAAGATGATAAAACGATTGACAATGTAATTAGATCGCTATTGATGACTGACAACGTGTAACCATATAATAACTATCATACAACCGCCGTCTGCTCCCCTAATAAAAGTTCATTTCAGATATCTTTTCTGTTCTTCGTGTTTTTCTTATTTGCTTTTTTTTTTTTTTTTTTTTTGGAAAATTTCATTTGAACACTTTAGCAATGTTTAACTAATTTTCAACCATAACATAAATTCTTTTTCTGTAGCTGAAGAATAAAAAAGAATAATCGTGAGCTCTAGGCACAAAAAAAATACGTGAGCTTGGCAGTGCGAGACGCACAGCAACCATTATGCCGTGACCAGGATTCGAACCTGGGTTGTCGCGGCCACAACGCGAAGTACTAACCACTATACGATCACGGCCAGCGCGCTCACAGAAACGAGGCCCTAACATAAGTTTAAATAGCTAGGCAGGGGAGATGACCCAAAGTTAGCGTACAGCTAAGCTCCCACAATCTGGACGTGACATGAACCAGATAAGCCGCGAGCTGACACGTGTTGTGATAAGTCAGGGACCTTCAGTGACACGATCTTTGATTGTCTGGACGTCTTACGTCGTCTACATGCCCGGACGTCCTTGACCGCATGAATTTTTTTTCTGTATAGGCTCTTATTTGTAAAATGTGATTTTTATTTCTCTTTGTGAACATTTGTGTACTGTGTTTCTGGGGGGGGGGGGGGGGGGGGGGAGGGCACTTGAACGTAAGAGACAAATATTTTATGTAAAAAGGAATGGTATACTTAAACTAACGACCGCTCCTCTCCCCCTCCCCCAAATTGAACTCGGTTAAAAATGTCTGAAAGCAACCCTTGTTATATATAAGATATAGAGCCAATAGTTTAGTCGCTTTTCCGCCCCACAGTTCTTCAATCAATCTAACCAATCTAAGAATATATAGAGGGGGGGGGGGGGGTGAGCCTAAAACAGCCTAACTGGCCTATTGTACTGGCTAGTCTCCAACCCAGCACCGCCCCAACCGCACACACCGGGACTCACACTTCAACGTCCAGTCCTCCTTGTCAACAACTCAGCAACTCAGCAAGCACAGAGTTACCGTCCTTGTTTGTCGAGATGCTCTTTGTTGTTGGCCAAGTGATTTATTAAGAGTTGACACATCGTAATACAAAACTGAACTGAAACCAATTTCTTATGAAAAAAATATTTTCAATCCATTGTATGCTAATACTAATAGTATAGTGCTTAATCCGGCTTAAAGTTAGTGATCAGTCTACCATAAGACCAGCTTGCAAAGTTTCTGATTTATTCCTCGTATATTTTAAATGTTCGTTATAAAACCGCATCTAATGTTAGACTCAATAGACTGAGTGTTGTTAAAAAAGTAACAGGGCTACAGATGGTGGGGGTGGTGGGGGTGCGAGTTTTGACGTGGGGTTTGAATTACCGAGGTGTCGTAGAAACAAGTGAACACTACTTCACTTGCCCTATAGACCGTCAGGTTTGAAAAGGGAACTTAAAGAAATGTTGCCTAGTAGGTCTATTGTTCAAACATGTATTTTAAGTATTTTAAAAATATAGTTATGGTTATTTTAGATTAGGTGATGTTTAAAAGTCTGACGTTATTTAAGGCGGTGTTACCACTTTTTTAACGAAACAATATGTGACTTTGGACACGGTCTGATATACGACTACTAGAATCTGGAATCAACCACAGACAGGCTGGTACTAGAACTAAATAAACCGGTAGTGATCTCCCCTAAACTTTCTCGAATGTTCTTATATAAAACAACAGGGGATGGTAACTGGGGATATAGTTATGATTTTTAATCCATTTTAAATACTTAAACTTTTAAAAATAGAATAGAATCTCATAAAAAAAACATTGCGCACCAAGCAAACGCCGAATAAAAACGCGTATAATAGTGCGCAATATTATTAGTACTTTAAAAATTTACATTAGTTTTTTGAGAAATCGGAAGTAGCGTAAATTACTACTTCCAGTCAACGGAAATTACTCAAAATTTAACAGAAGGTAGAGAATTAGATCTTTTACTTACATGTGAAATTTCATTTATCTATCTGAAATAGTACTCAAGTTATAGGCTTTTGAAAAATTCAAAGTAGGAAAAGTACCACTTCCGGTTATCGGAAATCGCTCAAAAGTTGATACGGATCTACGATTTTGATAAAATACTTATATATGAAATTTCATCAACCTAGCTGTAACGGTACTCAAGTTATCGTGTTTACACACGGACAGACAGACACACAGACACACACACACACAGACATACGGACAAGATTGCAAAATTATGTTTTTCCGTATCAGTGAGGTGTAAAACGTCGAGATTTGTAAAAATCTCGATTTTTTTTTTTGCACGATTACAATACTTTCTCTATACTACGTATATACGAGAAAGTAAAAACTAAAAACTAGAACTAAAACTCTACCTAAATTTACTGATGCGGAATTTATGATACTCTTTTTTATTGTATTACGTCTTTAGGGATTCAGTTTTGTAATGATATGAGTATATGAGTTGGATTTGGACCTGCGCCTTTTCGTTAGCGTCTAAACTTCATTGGCTTTGACATAAGAAACGTGTTTGTTATATGACAAAAGTTTTAATCATTAAGCACTCCTGGTGAAGTCTAATTTAACCCTTTATTTACGGAATTATGTTCCGAATGACATTTTTTCTTAAACAATGTATTATCATATTGCTTTTGGCACATTTAAAGCATATGTCGAAGGAAATTTTGTTTCATAAATTTTTAAGGGCCCAAACATGTATTGGTACTTATAAGTACCGTCAGGAGTGTAGGACATTTTTTCCAAAAATTAAAAAATTTACAAAACAGGAAAAAACGATACAACTTATTAAATAATAACATGGCAATCATTATAACAATCATTTTTTTGTAATTTTCACTCATAAACACAGCACAAAAGTATATTTTGAGTACGATTTTTACTGGTTTTTCTATCAGAACACATCTTAGACCTCAAACACAGCAAAAGGTGCCGACATGTCATGCTCCCTCATTCCTCATTCCTGAGACATTCTTGTCTGTCGTCTTTCTGGTGTGGCAACAGTTGCCGGACTGAACCTGCTTTTGCTAGAGGCTTCCAATAGCCATTACAATGAGCCGCATAAACAAATATTTTGAAAACATTCAGTACACTACTACTAGTAATACTAGTATAATTGTAGCCTACTAAAATGTTATGAATAGTCTACACTACAGTGTAAAGTTCATAAATAGAAGTGAGCTCAATGTGTTTGGAATAGCCGTAGTGGCCTACTGTTTTGTGTTTACTGATTCAAAATTACAAAATGATCTATACTGCATGCAGATGTATGGACTATTACTAGTCTACATATATACATGTATACATTACGTACACGCTAGCCATTGTATGCAAGACAGTTTTTTGCAACAAATATAACTTACAAATCTTACTTCTAGAACTAGACTTTGGTATACAAATAACGTATACTAAACCTAGTAAACGAGCCTGCAACTGCCACCTCTATTCTTGTTATTCTTTTACTACTAGAAATCTGCAATTAATTACAATATTTCTGAGTAAAACCCTATGATAACCCTCTTATAAATGCATAAATATATATTTTTAAGTACATTTCGATAATTAATTATCAAAATAATATTTATGTCAATCCACATCGAAAATCAGCAATTTCCAAGAAATCCTAAAAAATGTCCGTGTGCCCTGACGGTACTTATAAGTCCACTTGTAAACATCGATCTATTACAAAGACAATTTGATAAAAATTGTATAACTAGAAGTTAAATGTATTTGCCTGACTATTGAAGATGCCAATAAAAAATATTCGGCGTTGAAAACGTGAAGAATAAGGTAAAACAAAGGGAAATTAGGAACACATATGAGGTATGTACAGAACAATTGTGAACTACCGATACAAGTAGAGATTTAAAATGGCGCCACACCAGTAATTTTCAAAAAACATCGTTCCCTCCACCTACCTGTGACTCAAGGGAGATAATACTATCAATTACATCAATAATTTTTAAAATTCATCTTAAATTAAAAATAATACAGGCGCTTAATTAAAGTGGTACTTATAAGTACCGTCAGTAGATAAAGGGTTAATGTTACTATTTTTCGAGCATTTAGTTTTAATTAATTAAACTATATAAAACTCCGGGTAACACGGCCACTGGAAGAGGTAGGTCGTCCCTAGTGCAACTGGACTGTTGATTTAAGTAGTGTATATATGTATATGCACTTATGTATATTGTAACACAAATGTAAAAAATTCTTAGTTCCACCAATGGAATCGAAACCCGGCCGCTTGTATGGTAGGCAGGAGTTCTAGCCACTAGACCACACTATCGAATTGTCCAGTTGTCGAGGGTAAAAAAAAACAGCCTCAAACTACAACCAAATGAAGACTTGAATCGTCTTCACGCGAATGCCATAGATCTAGATTTCTAGAACAAGATTCTAGAATATTAGGCTTATTAGGACTCTAGAAAGATCTATCTTTCATAAGTAAGTTAATTTAAAATATTTAATGTGCACTCTCTAGGACAATCTAGAATCTAGATTTAGAATCTAGATCTAGAATCTAGATCTAGATCTAGATCTAGTCTAGCCTAGTTACTAGTTAGACTTCTAGTAGTAGTTACTAATTTTTTAAGTTAGTTACAGTTAGAGTTTGAACCAAGGTTCGTACATTATTAAAATTGGGTTGGAAAAATAAATTGAAAGGTTGAGGGGGGTTCAAATTGAAATCTTGAGGGTGTGGGGAAATTGCGAGACGCGAAAAGCGAAATGGCGAGGCGGGAAAATGCGAGAAGATCATGCGAGACATACCTGCGGAATCAAGGGTAAATAGCGAGACACTTTTTGCGAAAAAAAGTTTTTTTTTCATGCTTATTTCATCTTTATTTATTTAAATTATTATTTTTTTTTAAATAAACTAGCATGTAGCCATACCCTTTAACACGAGTGTTGTATGTTGTTATTTTTTATCTAGATTTTATTATATATATATAGATAGATAGATACTAAGAAGATAGATAGATCTAGATCTAGATCTATTTAAAAATCCTAACATCGTTGCTGTGCTACTGTCATCGCCCGCTCTTGTTAGCGAGAGGAAAATCCCGGCATTAATTTTAAAAATCTACCCCGCTCATGTTTATACAAACGTGAGCTGTGTCATTGTGAATTGGTATAATTTTGTCAGCAGGAGAGATATTCTGCAATTGTTGTACTTGCAAAAAGTGTAAAAGTATAAACAATTCTTAAAAGTGTAATTTATTTTTTATTAAGTAATTTTAATTACAAACAAAATTTACAAACAAAATCTTCTGAAAAAGTCCTAGCATTAATCAAACACACCTCGTCACACCATCTTTCACACATAGTACATCCAACCCACCAGTTCATTAGACTCCCATTTATACTGTGCTAACACAGAACATGAATATGAACATAATGGAAAAAAAAATGTGCGTCTGTAGATAATCTGAATAAAGTCCGCTATGGACGAAACTACCATTTAATAGCTAAAAGGGGTCATCCATAAATGACGATTTTTACCCCCTCCCCCTCCCCTCCGTCACACATTTTCACAAAAATCCAGACCCCCCCCCCACTAAAATGACGTCACCTCAGTCTTCAACCCCCCCCCCCCCCCCTCAAAATTGCAGTTGAATTTTTTTTTAAACATCGATATTTTCCCAAAATCTTGTCTAATTTCTGTATTTTAATCAATTCCTATTACAATTTATGAAAACAGTTTTCTAAAACACGAAAAACATTGCTTTTTTATAGTGTGACGTCACACATTTCTATGCAACAATACAAAATATGTTTGCGGCGGCACGGCGATCTTCAAAGACGGTTTCGGCGGCTTCGGCGTTCCACACAAAAGAAAGAAGTTGATCTATCGTTGGCGGTATTTCCGTCGGTTTCGAACAAGGTGGTATTCTAAGTCGACACAAAAGATGGGGGGAGTTGACAAATCATCAGTATGTCTAGCGACGGAAAAATCGGAAGTTTTAACAATGTAAACGAAACGTCTTTGAAGTCTGGACCAAATACCACTGAAAATCGGGTGCGGTAAATTTTTCGCAGAAATCTTCGCATTTCAACACCACCCAGCGTAAGTATCGGGTTGTGGTAAAATGCGAGACAAAAAAGTCACTTGGCCGACCGTTTTCGCGCCCTTCTCGCATTTTCCCGCCTCGCCATTTCGCTTTTCGCGTCTCGCAATTTTCCCACACCCAAATCTTGAGGGGGAGGGGTGCAAATCAAAAAGTTTGTCCCCGGGCGCCGGGAAGGGTCGCTATGCCTCTGGGGCCTGTAATAAATAATTTAAAATCCTATTACTGAGTATTTCTAGATCTAGATTCTAGAATCTAGATCCTGGGTTTAACTTTTAAGCTTATTTAATTTATTATATTTATAACCTAGGCCTATTGGCCTATATATAAAAATTTTAAAAATGTAGGCCAATTTAAACGCTACTCTACTGAGTCTTACATCAATAGTAATAGGCCTACATACATAACTGTCTAGTACATACATGATAATACATAGGCCTACATACATAATACTTATAATTATTATTATGCTAGCTGGTCAAATGCAGGGGAATAGAGGAATATTATGTGTTGGATTGGCCTGTGTTGATTTTGTTAATGTTGTGAATGAATATCCTAAGGAGGATTCTGATCAAAGGTAAAACTTTGAAATTACAATAAAGGAAAGTGCGCTTATTTTGTTTGCATTTTAAATCTAAGGCCGATTGTAATTTTGCACAATACCTTATGCTAACAGCCTAAACTACTATCATAATTCTTACTATTAAAAAAATACCATTTTGAGGTAGGGTAGGGTATTCAGAAAGTGTGACATCACTTTTTAAATAGAAATTTAAAAAATTGGAATAGCAATTGTTTGTTCATTTTTCTCAAGACTTTTCTATACATTTTAGTAGAAACTGATTGATTTTAACCCAGCCAAGGTAAAAAAAATAAGAAAGATGGTGTGGTTGAATAGTAGAGCTGATAATTACCAACCTAAAAGTTTGGATCCTGGGCTTGAATCTGTAGGATATCCCTGAGTCCACTCAGCTCTGATCTGTACCTGACTAACATTTGAGAAACAAAGGTGGCTGGGCATAGTGCTGAACACACTATCCCCTTGTATGTTGAGGTCATTATTTACCCCATGTTTCTTGGGCATAAGCAAGAAAAATGATGATGATAGGTAAAAGTTGCAACTAGGGAGGAGTCCTTAGACTGAATTGTAACATCATTTAGTGCAAGTAGTGTGATGGTATAGGTAAAAAAATGTAAAAAAAAGTTTGATGTTATTTATGAATTAACCTTAACAACAAACTAATAATTAGATCATCATATTTTTGGACACGCAGTTTAATTTGAATTTTTTTCTCCCAGGGGCTCTGATTACTATTGGCAAAGGGGAGGGAATGCTTCCAACAACTGTACAGTCCTGTCGTTGCTCTCTGTGCCATGTGAATTTGTGGGGGTGCTTGGATCCCAAGGGGCTGAAGCCAGGTACCACCTTATGAATGGTTGGCTAACATCACGTTAGCTTTATGTAGGTAGAGTCAAACAGACTACTGTAGAACAAAGTACGACATGGCGTAAAAGAGCAATTCCTAATTTCAATCAACTCATTGACTAATTTAGTTGAGCATGTTTTAAATTAAAAGCTCATTATTTAGAATATTTTATGATTAATAAATGTATTAATAGTCTTAAAATTCATCATATAAATTGATTTTAAAAAAATGTTTGTGTAAACTTGTTCTTTGCTATAGATGGATAGCTAATGACTTTGCCACGTGTGGTATAAACATCAGCCATAGTGTGGTTAAAGATGTTCTCTGTCCTGTTGCAACGATTATACTTAACGTGGGCACTGGTACGCGCACTATTTTATTTTATCCTAGGTAAGGCTGAGTTTAAAGATTTTAGATATTTATGTCTGTTTTTGGGACGAAGTGGCCTAGGGGTAGAGAGTGACTGCTAACCCTTAAGTCTCGAGTTTGAATTCGGGTAAAAGTCAGTAGACTATCCCTGAGTTCACCCAGCAGATGGGTACCTAACTCACATTAGGGTAAGTAAATGCTGCTGGGCATAGTGCTGACCACACTATCCTTCGTGTGCAGATGTCACAGAAACAATTGAACTCTACTTCACTTGCCCCGTAGGCCGTCAAGTTTGAAAGGGAACTTTATGTCTGTTTTTGTAATATACACAAAATTCTAGAAATATTATTGTTGAAAATTGCTCTTGAACCATTTAGTTTCAATGTTATTACATTTAAAAATAATTAGAAATCTTGTAATTTTTAAAATATATTTGTTATTTGAATGTAAAATATAAATATTTTTTATAACCACAACAAGAGACCGACCAGAGTTGAGCTATGCAGAGTTCCATGACATCTTTAAAGACGACTTCTCTTCATTTTCATGGACACATTTTGAAGTAAATAATTAATTGACATCATTTTCTAAAGCTTATAATTTCAGTTAGTCCACAATGGCCTAGGTCACATTTTTGTGGTTTTGAGTTAATATTTGAAATGTATAGTTTACACATTCATCTAAATAATCAACATTATAAATAATGTTATAGTGAAAACACAATTGTATTATTACCATGATGTTAAATTATTTAGTATTTTTTATATTATAGGCCTACACATTTTAGTATTTAATATTTTTTTCAGCTATGTAGTAATGTCAGTGAAATATCTAGTATGCTAGATGATGTCATCCGTTACAATAACTCCTTAAAAAACGATGATGTTGTCGTTGATGACAAAGTTTTCATATCAGTTGAAATAGAGAAACCAGAGTTTAGTGGATATGGTGAGAGTCCTAGTTTATTTTCTTTAAAAAGTTAATTTACCTTTTGTAATTTCACTTTAATTGTAGAGACAATTTTTAAAAACCCAGATTTAATCCTTTGGGTTAAGATAAAGATTATCAGATTACCACACTGAGAAACAACCTTTATTTTCTGACATGGCCTAGTTATAATGGCTATGAACAGATATGTCCCTTTTAAACAAAAATGAAGATGAAGAAAATACAAAGCAGCACCTTGTTAATAATTTCTGAAATGGCAAACGAACAAATAAACTTCACACACATCTGGTTTTTGCAAATGTGAATAAATACTTTCTTCTAGTAATGTTGTGTAACCAAAGATAAAGAGCTGTTAGCCTTTATCTATCTCCAAACAACTTGGATTGAGTGCCCCATGATCTTTTTTTTTTTTAATTTATCCTTGAATAGATTCTGTGATGACAAAAGCAGACCTACTTTTTGTCAGCAAAGATTACGCAAAAAGTCAAGGATTTACAGACGCCAGTTGTGCAGTGAATAAGCTGTCATCTTTGTGTAAACCAAAGTAAATACAAACTATTAACAAGTTTCTTGTAGGCTGTATGGAATAATGTATAACATATTTGTATGCTAATATTAACATTAATATAACGTTTTCTATGGTGACTATAAACACAGTGCTGTGGTGGTTTGTGCATGGGGAGATGAGGGTGCAGCGGCCAGCTATAAAGGTCAGACACTGACGTCTGCAGCCCTGAGGGGTGTCAAGGTCATCGACAGCCTAGGAGCAGGGGACACTTTTGTGGCTGGCTTTATGTCAGTGTTGTGGAGGGAACAGTACCTACACAAGTACACACTGACAGACTGCAGGCTAATCATACAACAGGCTTTGGACTTTGCTTGTAAATTGGCAGGGTTGAAGTGCAGTATGTTTGGGTATAAAGGGTTGAAGGACTACTGTTGAAAAAATTATAACGTTAAGATTTATGTTTGAATGTAAGGGTTGAAAACTACTATCAAATTAAATTAAAATGTTGAGATTTATGTTCGGCTATAAGGGGTGAAGGACTACAGTAGAATCAAATAAAAAAGCTGAGAAAATGTTAGTTCAATCAAAAGCTTAGAAATTCAATTATTATACTTTGATGTTAAAGTGCAATAAATAAAATGTATTCAGATTTTTGTGACAAAAAAAAATGTAAATAAAAGTAATGAATATACATGAGAATCCACTGTTGTGAACAGTTTTTCTTAATATTCTTCGTAAACGTTTTCTTCTGTTAAAATAAAAGCATAACTACAATATTAAGAGATACTTGCTATGATAAAATGTAAGCAGAATAATGAAATACTATCTTGGTCTTCAGACAAGTTTATTCAATAGTTTTACAACATGTATACACTGAGTGTTCAAACAGACAGTGCAGGTACTGTACTTGTATAAACTTTTACATGTAACAAACCTACAAGGATTCATCAATAGCTTTTTCTAAAGTTGTGTACAAAAACATTCACAGCTGAAATAATGCACAATAAGAATTTTTAAATTAAGCATTACTCTCAAACTGGAACAATTTTTGTCCAAATAGAGCTATTAAATTTTTAAATACAAGTCATTTAGATCAATCTAAATAGTATAATTTTGACAAAAAAATGTTACAAGTATGCTAACAATTCAGATATATTATATTGTATGTAGTATCAGAAATCATATCAGAATTCACTTTTGAATTGTATGAAGTAAAAAAAGAAAACACAGTAAAGATAAAACCAAACAAATTCCTAAAAGGAATTTTCTCAAAACCAAGAGTGTGTCTTGTAGCATAACAGCTAAAACAATTTATTGATCAAAATTAACAGGACAACATTAATAAGATCTTTTTTTTATGATTGTCTCAAGTTGCATGAGTAATAAAAAAAAGGAAGATAACTATATAACTGAAGATGTACAGGAACTGAAACACTGTTTAAAAAATCATTTTTTTTTTAAACTGAGTGCTATAGATACTTAAGGATGTATACTTTAACCTTAAATGCACTACACAATCAAAAAGGATAATATTATAGCTCAAAGAGGATGTTAATAAATTAATAAACATCTAGTTTGATGAAAAAACAAACAAAAGCAAAGTGGTCACTAACTAAGCAAAGATGAACACAGATCAACTGTAAGCAAAAAGACAAAGGCCTCTCTTTAGATATTTTACACTATCTTTCTTGTCATTAATAAGGCAATCTCCATTACATAAATGGTTAAAATATAATGCCTACAAATAATCAAGGAAACCATCAGTTAAAGTAATAGAAAAGCACATTCAGTGTACTAGAGTGAAATATTGCCTTACAAGCAAATAAAGAAATGGTGCAACACTTGGCTAAATATTTATAAATTAGGCAGCACTATTTTTATTTTAACTTAAATGACGGAATTACAGGTTAATAAGGCTTTTGTTTGCTTTGCATATTAAAAGTTTTAAAATAAAAAATATTTTGTATTTTATTTTTAGCTATTCAAACAAAGCACAACAAAAAACACTTTAAAAAAAAAAACTCCATTTAAAACAAATAACAGTGACGAATAGTTTTGACATTGTTCATAAAACTTTGCTTAAGTAATGAGGTGAAGGCAATTCAATTATAAATGCAATTCTTTAGTTTAGTAATAACATTCAACTGCATCAAAAGATAATAATTACCGTCAATATATTAAAATATAGAAGAATCAAACTAAATTTAAGAGCAGACAATATGAAAATATTTGTGGTTGGAGAGCAAAAAATAAATCAATGTTCAAAATTACCCTCAGGCTCCAGAGAGAGTTAACTCCCCCCCCTCCCACTTCCTATTACCAAATTTTAAGTGTGACAGAAAATGAAATATGGACAAACATGAGATTGAAACACTAGAAAAATAAAATATGCAGACATAGGCGGATCTGTCCTCCAACGTGTAAGAGAAAAAAAGACCTATAAAAAGTTAACCAATTTTACATTTTGTACTAAGTGTTATATTCTTAGTGTATTACACTTGTATATCTATGGGGATTTTGGGCTTAGCTCCCAGTATCTCAACAAGGCTAGATCCGCTTATGTATGCAGCATTATTCAAATGAAGAGAATCTGTGAAGTTTATGCTGTCCTTAGTATGATGTGAACTCCTGAGTCTGTTGATATAGGCTCACTCAATTCACCAACCTGTTGGTAACATAATATTTTTAGTAACAGGTACATTAAAAAAATTATCATTCAATAGTTATCGATAGAATTACTTTTTTAGTACCTGAAGTTTGAATGAGGCTTCTTCAAAAGGCCGCTGCATTTGTCCTGGACCAAAGGGACCTAAATCACCCCCTTTTCTAGCAGAACTGCAGTCTGAGTACTTCTCAGCTAGCTCTGCAAATGTGGCCTCATCATTAACTATTTTATTTCGGTATTCTGAAATGAATAAAAGATTAGAAAGTAAGTAAGGCTATGAAAAACAGTGAAAAGAATAAAATATAAGGAAGATAATATGAAAAATATCTTAAGGTAAAACGTACCAAAAAAAAAATGAGACTTTCCATTAAGGACTATAGTTCTTTAGTTTTCTTCAGTGCATAAATTAACTTTAAAATAATCATGCTTAATAAATCAATTCTTTTACTAACAATATTATATAAAAATATATTTAAAAATACACTTAGACCTGTTATAAGAACATTACAAAATACAGAGTTTTAACCAAAATTTTTAAAAAGGGAATTTACTCACGTTGTAGCAATTCTAGTGCCTCCTCCTTAGTCCTAGTTATCTCCTCCCCTTTCCAGTTCTGTGGACGCCTGGAATGTTTATGCTTGACTAGTAAATGCGAACATGTGACTTTGTTGGATTTCTGCTCAGCTGGCTCAGTCGGTTCATCCCACTGACTTTCTTTTGTGTAGATGTTCATATAGTAATCTTTACCTGTATGAAAATTTTTTTTATTTTGAAGGTGTTTCTCTAGTTTCAAATAGCAGAACTTAGATCTAGATTTCATTTCTAGAAACCACAAAACCTTAGTACGATGTAGATTGCAGCTTACAGAATACACAATTCTAAATTATACTATAGTACTACAATAGATCTAGATTTAAAGTAATGATAATTTAACGAAGTGTCTATTCTCAATTGAATTTTTAAACTTAATTAGATTCTATCAAGAATTTATTCTAGATCTACTATCTCTAGTCATTCTACATCTAAATCTAGTTCTAGACTAATTCGACTCACAGATCTATCTAGAACTAGTGATGATTACTGAATTACTTTTAAAATTAGTATTTCAATTAGTTAAGCCCTAGGCCTATAAAGTTTAAAATAATAAAAACTAGGTAATCTCACGAAATAGTGTCATTAATTATCCAGGTAATGTTTGTTGAGATTCGTTAACATTAATTACTGTACATTATAGTTTATTTGACCATTAAAATAAAAATAAAGACAAGTGCATTAAATTAATGTTTTAATAGACAGAAAATTAGCAACAATTAGGCCTAGATTTAGTAGGCCTTATATCTAAATATAAATAATAGTCGTGGGTAATATCATGATATAGCGTTAGTTATTACTTTGGAATAGTACAGCAGTAAAAAACAGTAAAACAATGGCGTAGTCTGTCACACCGTTCCGGAAACCACTGGAAATACTGTAAATCGTCATTTAGGGCTTAGGGCCTATTTGGTGCCATATTATTTCTAATAGGCCTAGGGGCCTAGACCTACACAATGTTTAAAAATGTGCATAAATAGATTAATGTAGTAATTAATGTTTTTAAAAGAAACACAGAAAAAAAACTTGCAGAAGATTTGCGACAACTAGAATTCTAGATTTAGTAAGATTATTTTAAAGATAAGATGTCAGACCATTAGATTTAGAATCTACTAGGGCCACTAGGGCCTAAAGTTTTAAGTAGTAAAAAGAACTAGAACTATGTTTAGTAGCTGCTACTACTGGTGGTGAGACTACCATAAAAAAAAACTAAAAACTTAACTCGACAAAATTACTAAATTAGGGTAGGCCTAACATATTTTTTTAGGAGGGCCTATTATTTTTTTAGGCCAACATAAAAATTACCGTTATTACGACTTGTTCGTTTTTCCCAACCAGGTGGTATTCCTGCCATTTTTAGATCTGCGAAATTCAGTTAGTAGAGACAATATGGATAAAGCAACTTGATTTCTAGTCCAGTCTAGGACTAGATCTAGGATTTAGAAATTGAGGGAATTGTTTTTCTTACGATAAAATCGATAGTTAGAATCTACAAAGATTGCAGAATAGTTTCCCCTGAGAACATCTAAAAACAAAACCAGTGAAAACGAAATAAGTATTAATTTACCACGGCACATTTTTATTAAATAGACCTGTGTTAAATTAAATCAATTAATGATTAAGTACAAAATATCATTTTTTCATTTTCAATAATTACCAAGACGTTATTAATAGATGTGTGATTGATAATATGTGTGTATAAAGAAGTTTTGATTCAACAAAAAAAATTTTAATCTTACCTTTTGTTTTATCTCATATAAAGTCAATTGACACAGTTACTACGGCCCGAATCGATGTGAGCGCGCTGGCCGTGATCGTATAGTGGTTAGTACTTCGCGTTGTGGCCGCGACAACCCAGGTTCGAATCCTGGTCACGGCATGAAGGCTGCTGTGGGTCTCGCACTGCCAAGCTCACATATTTTTTTCAATAATTTTTTTTAATTAATAAATTTATTACTTATTTTTTTCAGTATTATTTTAGAGATTGCAATATTTTTAAAATTTCTCTAAAGGACCCAAACGAGAATAAAGGACGAGACATTTCTAAGTGCTAGATTATGTCTTTAATTGAAGCCTGGAGTGGCCCTTAGTATTAAAAATTTACGTCGCATCAATTCTTCATTTTTAAAACATCAATATTTTGAATTTAAGTAGGTCTACATCTAGTCATATTACATTTTAAATAGTTTTTTCTTTGTGCGAATTGTAATGTAATGAAGATGACTCAATAACCTTCAGCAAGTTTAATTGGCATCTCAATAAAAAAAAATACATAAAACATTTGTGGCAACCAGCTTCGCAGGATATAAAAAAAATATTTTAAAACAAACTTTAGAGCAACATGCTTTTAGATACATTGAAAACAAGAAAATAAAACTAAAACAAGAAAATAAAACTAATTTGCTTTCTTTAAAAATATATCTAATATCTCATGATAGATTATAAAAGATATTGATATTATCAAAGCATGAAGAAAGTTCGAAACAGCAGAATAATAAATACCGCAACTTGTCACCATTGCTGTTGTAATATTGTCTTACAGTTTGAATATTTTTAATGCAAACTAACACCAAATTAAAACTTATTAACTCCAAGCAATTTCTTGTCTTTCAAAAGAACATAACATGATTTTTTTCAATTAGCAGCTGCTATTTGTGCTATTTAAAGACTAGTGTTTAATATAATAAGAACTTATGGGCTAGATAACTATTCTGTTCACTGATAATTACATAACACATTTTTCCGTTTTACTTGTTGCAAAGGTTTTATTTTGATTGTTAAAAAAAAAAAATTAAACTTTTTTTTCTTTTTCTTAAACTTCACGATTCTTCTTTCGAATGCAGTTTTGCTTTTGTAAACAGTAGGCCTATATATTTGCCTTAGGAAGATGTTCTAGACCAGCTGGCAATACGTACACGGGCCCTGGCAACATCTTGCTAGTATATTTTACCTAAATGATTAACCTACTCTTCCTGGAGACTGATCTTGAAAGCCAAAGTTAGTAGAAAATAGGCGTTGCAAATAAAAAGATGAATGATGGTTAAACTCACAACTCCAGCAAAGGTTACATTTGTGAACGAAGATCTGTGCTTGTGGGCCCATATCTCAGTGGCGTAGCGAGGTCGGGTGTCACCCGGTGCGGCACCTAATGGTGTCACCCCCCCCCCAGAGGCGTAGCGACCCTTCCCGGGAAAAAACTTTCAAACTTTCGATTTGCACCCCCTCAAACTTTCCATTTGCACCCCCCCCCCCCCCTCAAATTTTTCTCTATATATTGTGTTTTTTTTTTTGCCATGGTGTCACCCGGTGCGGTCCGCACCCCGCCCCCCCCCCCCTCGCTACGCCTCTGCCATATCTATAAGGTATGGCGTGAGCGCCAAAAGCACCGACGCTAAAGTTGACTGACATTATGGCATAAAAGCGCCTCACTCATGTCTGATGCTCAGAAGTATGTCTAGAAGTATACACCTCTTGCGATAAATTAAAAGTTTACATAACATAACAATGGTAGATTCGTAGTTTCAGTATTTTTTTTAAATAGCAGTTTAAAATTTTACTTTAATCTCTGAAAAAAATGTTCATAGGTGGATCGGCTGCCCCCCCCCCCCCTCCCACACCCCCCCCTCCCCTCCCTTCTCCCCTGCATACGTTACTAATAAGTAATGTTTCTTTTTCGAATCTGGCGGTGGATATGGTAGAGACAATAGACTTAACTTGGTTCCGTGACATTGGCCCGTGAAAGGAAAAGGTGGTTAACGCTATCAATGGCGTAGCGAGGTCGGGTGTCATCCGGTGCGGCACTTAATGGTGTCACCACGGGGACAAACTTTCAAATTTTCGATTCGCACCCCCCCCCCCTCAAACTTTCGATTTGCACCCCCTCAAGGTTTCGATTTGCACCCCCCCCCCTCAAACTTTCGACTTGCACCCCCCCCCCCTCAAGTTTTTTTCTATATGTTTTGCTATTTTTCGCCTTGGTCTCACCCCCCTAAATGGTGTCACCCGGTGCGGTCCGCACCCCGCCCCCCCCCCCTCGCTACGCCCCTGAACGCTATCCCTTTCGAGTTTACCCTCCCTAACGTCAGTCAGGTACCCACCAGAGCTGAGCCGTCTCAGTATCGTCTTACGAACTACAGCAGAAGAAAGAATAGTTACTGTACGCCAATATTCATTCAGCGGTAAAGAACTCAACTTTTCATTAATAATAACGAAAATTTCTATGTCAAAAGAACATAAATTTTTGAAAGTAAAACAAAAAGGCAACAAATAATAAAAGTTAAATATTTTTATGTTCATTTTTTTTTTTTTTGCATTTTCTCTCATCAGTAGGCAGTTGAGTGTTGATCGAAATATTTTGTCCGCTACGGGTTAATCTAATTGTGCGACATCTTAGGGGTTAATGATTAAACAAGCTCATCTTCCCTTCAGACACAAGCTAGGGTCAAGGGATGTTTGAAACCCACCACCAAGCCAGTCTCTAGGAGATTCACAAACAGCCTTGACCGTGCGTCGCCTTCATGCTTGAAGGCTATCCTTCATTAAAAGTACTGCAAAGGGCTCCAGTCGGTAACTGGATATTCCTTGATGAAGCCGTTCACCAAACAACAAAAGACGAAGAAGCATAGAAATGCCAACAGAAATAACCAGCCAAGGTACCGTTCCCAGGTCGAAGTGTTCAAGTTTTTCAGCACTAAAATGCCTAAAAGCAAACCTGTGAGAGAAATTCATTCACAATTTACAAAGAATTTATGCAGTGCTTTTTTTTTTTTTGTAAAAAAAAATAGGTGCCGGCACTAAGTGATGGACTGCCTAACTTTTAACTACGAAAGTATTATGGTTAGCATTATGCTAAGCCGCCTTTGCTTTCCCTAACGTGATTCAGGTACTTTTTAGAGCTGGGTGGACTCAAGTACGCCCTGCAGTCACGAGTCCGGACAGAGATCCGAGCTCAAGACATTCAGGCTAGCAGTAGAGCAGTCTACCACTCGACCACACGTCGAGTAAGATGCAACATGTCTATCAAACATAGCCGAAATTTTTTTTTTTGTCAATCATCGTTGGTCATTTCGGTGGGATACACTATTTCATTACACTGTTTCACTTGGTTCGCTAAGTCTGTCCTGCTCTCTATATATGGGTAATCCTGTAACTTAATTTTCAACAACTTCTAACACCGTTCAAAATGTCCGCATGCGCTCGTCTCCGAAGACAACGCAAGTATATCTATTTTTTAATTAACCTGCATATTTAAGAAAAATAAAGATTAGTCTGTAATAATAACGTTGATAAAAAAAAAAACGGCATTCAATTTGTTTCTATCTTAAATGTTGATAAAGAATCGCCATCATATTTGGTCGATCAAAATATTGGTGAAGGAATGCATTTAGATTTAGTCTAAATCAGTATGAACGTGCTTATATCGGGTATAGCATATGCTGACTGCAGTGGCGTAGCCAGGGTCGTCTCAAGGGGGGGGGGGTCCAATTTTTACCCGGGGCCAAACTTTCGATTTGCACCCCCCCCCCCCCCGAAACTTTCGATTTGCACCCCCCCTCATACTTTATATATATATATATATCGAGGGGTCTATGGGGGGGGCTATGACCCCCCTAACACCCCTCCTGCCTACGCCACTGGCTGACTGACTTACCTGTCTGGAGCCCCCCAATGTGGGCTATGACGCCAGTTCTGTTAGAGGCGGGCGCTGAGAAGCGCCGGTAGAGGGCCAAACCGGTGTCAGGTACAACTTAATGAATGGATGAGAACAGGTACAACTTAATGAATAGATGAGAACAGGTACAACTTAATGAATAGATGAGAACAGGTACAACTTAATGAATAGATGAGAACAGGTACAACTTAATGGATGGATGAGAACTGGTACAACTTAATGAATAGGTGAGAACAGGTACAACTTAATGAATGGATGAAATCAGATACAACTTAATGAATAGATGAAATTATTTACAACTAAATGAATTTAAAAAAAACAAACAGGTACAGTTTAATGAATGGGTGAAATCAGGTATGAACAGATAAAATTAGGTACATTTAATGAATACGCGAAATCAGATACTACTTAATGAATAGTTTAATTAGTGACTACTTAACACACAAAACTAGTTACAGCTTAATGAACTAGATTAAATTAGTTACAACATTAATAATGAATAGATGTAATGAGTTGCAGCTTAGTGATAGAATAATTAAAGCTTTTATAATAACCCTAAATCGTATAAGACAATCAATGTTTCTTCCAGACTTTTTTTCCGGCGGGGCACTTGATATTTTAGGGAGGGGGGTGGACTAAATTTTCCAGGGGCCGGACACTGGTGACAGTATATTTTTTCTATATAAATTTCCATTTCGTTTGGGGGAGGGGGGGGGCAGAGCCCCACCGAAAAGATTCCTGGAAAAAACAACAATATAATAACAACAATACAATAACAAACAGTTCAATATAATTACGTTGATTCATTAATAAATTTAAAAAATGTGAGTTTAAAAATTAAATACAAACAAACAACAGCAACAAACGTACCAATTACGAATATAGCAGCCAGCCTAAAAGGTGCGCAGAGTACCAATCGGAGTATGCTGATACACACCTTCTTCTTACTGTTGGTTATATCCATCGCATGGTAGTTCATCTCGCTCCAGTTCTGTGCAGTACATAGATTAATTTCGAAGTGTCTACTCGGAATAAGATTTTTCGGCAAAAGATAGTTCTGCGCATGCGCAGTGACCTATGGCTAGGGTTAGGGCTAGAATGAGGGTTAGGGGTAGGATTAGGGCTAGGGTTAGGGATAGGATTAGGGCTAGGGTTAGGGTTAGGGATAGGATTAGGGTTAGGGTTAGGATTAGGGATAGGGCTAAGGATAGGATTAGGGTTGGTATTAGGGTTCTGCGGTTGTAAACACACGCATGCGCAGTACCATCGAAAACATCGCCGCTAAGATTTTTCGGCAAAAGATAGTTCTGCGCATGCGCAGTGACCTATGGCTAGGGTTAGGGCTAGAATGAGGGTTAGGGGTAGGATTAGGGCTAGGGTTAGGGATAGGATTAGGGCTAGGGTTAGGGTTAGGGATAGGATTAGGGTTAGGGTTAGGATTAGGGATAGGGCTAAGGATAGGATTAGGGTTGGTATTAGGGTTCTGCGGTTGTAAACACACGCATGCGCAGTACCATCGAAAACATCGCCGCTAAGTCGTAGTTTCTCTCCATTGCGCATGCGTATCGCATGCGTATCTTATTCCGACTAGAATCGGCCAATTAATTTATGTTTACAAAGTTAGTTCCCTTGAGATAAAAAAAAGACTTCTTTTTTTTTATAAAGTAACGTTAACATAGAAACCCCAAGTCGCGAGAGGAGCTTTAGTCGGTGTTTCATTCAGACATTTTTCTCCCAAGGTTCGAGGGGGGGTACATACAATTTTTAGAGGGGTTGGGGTGCACATACCCTAGCTTATAAATAAGCTAGGTTATGACTTTCATTGTAGCGGTGTATTGGATGTCTTTGAAATAGAATTGTTAATCTGAACTGCGATATAATATGCAGGGTTTCTTTTAGACATTTTTCTCAGGCGGGGTTGGGGTGGGGAAGGAGGAGGGGGCACCTGCAAAATCTGTTGAACGCACTTAAAATATCCAGGTGGTGGCGGATAGTGGTTACAAATATACAACATATTTTTTTACTTAGTCCTGGGGGGTAGGGGGTGAATGGACGTTCTCGGGAAGGGGGGGGGGGCACTGTTTTATTTCTTGAGAGGCGTGGAAAAAATATCTGCATATACTGCCATCAGAGTCCATATGGATAATAACCTGGTGACACGTCATACTTGCAGAGTAAAATTTCGTGACTTGTCCCACCCCCCGATCACGTGACTCACGATAATAATGGCAGCAATATGAGCACCAATCAGAGCGTACACACCACCACTTGCACCCGCCAGGTTGACCCTCAGGTCGGCGACAGAGTTGGCCAGACAACCTGTATTAATTTAGACACATTAATGTATTAATTTAGACACATTCATGTATTAATTTAGACACATTAATGTATTAATTTAGACACATTAATGCATTAATTTAGACACATTAATGTATTAATTTAGACACATTAATGTATTAATTTGTGACGGTGATTGAGTTGGCTAGACACCCTGCATTAATGTCTTAATTAAGACACATTAATGTATTAATTTAGACACATTAATGTATTAATTTAGACACATTAATGTATTAATTTAGACACATTAATGTATTAATTTAGACACATTAATGTATTAATTTAGACACATTAATGTATTAATTTAGACACATTAATGTATTAATTTAGACACATTAATGTATTAATTTAGACACATTAATGTATTAATTTAGACACATTAATGTATTAATTTAGACACATTAATGCATTAATTTAGACACATTAATGTGTTAATTTAGACACATTAATGTATTAATTCAGACACATTAATGTATTAATTTAGACACATTAATGTATTAATTTAGACACATTAATGTATTAATTTGTGATGGTGAATGAGTTGGCTAAACCCTGCACTAATGTATTAATTTAGACACATTAATGTATTAATTTATGACGGTGATTGATTTGGCAGGACACCATGCATTAGTGTATTAATTTAGACACATTAATGTATTAATTTAGACACATTAATAGAAAATACCCTAATCTGTAAATCACAATTTCTTTCAGGAAACAACTTTACCTATAATACTTTCTAAAAATCAACTTTACCTGTAATACCTCCCAACAAACAACATTTACCTGTAATACCTCCCAACAAACAATTTTACATGTAATACCTCCCAAAAAACAAATTTACCTGTAATACCTCCCAAAAAAAACAACTTTACCTGTAATACCTCCGAAGAAACAACGTTACCTGTAATACCTCCCAAAAAACAACTTTACCTGTTATACCTCCCAACAAACAACTTTACCTGTAATACCTCCTAGGAAATAGAGAATCGCGACCCTCCACCACTTATGGATCATTTCCAACGGTAGACCAAACAGCATTTGAATCACGACATTAGAAGTAATGTGCAAATACCTAAACCATAAAAAAACATAAAGCTCTCGTAATTTAATAATACACTTCCGGTTTCATTTTTACTTAAAAAAAATACTTCCTTTTTAACAGTATATGTCTTTACTATATGTTACTTATATTAAGTCTTTAAGCGAAAATATAACTGCTGTATAATTGGTAAAAGCAGTAACCATAGTTCTTAAAACAGATTTCCTTACACAACGTTATTGTTAGAACTAACACTACTAGACAGTGGCGTAGCGAGGTCGGGTGTCACCCGGTGCGGCACTTAATGGTGTCACCTCCCCCACCCCCCCCCCCCCCCCACCCAGAGGCGTAGCGACCCTTCCCTGGGACAAACTTTCAAATTTTCGATTTGCACCCCCCCCCCTCAAACTTTCGATTTGCACCCCACCCCCTCGCTACGCCCCTGCTACTAGAATTGTAATAGAAACTCGTGTAGCCAATGTGATACAAAACTAAAACTTGTCAGAGGCAGAAAACTAAATACGACCAAAAAATGGTAAGCACAGAGTTTAAAATTAAAACTCATATACATATATGCCTATGAATGTAAACATCGAGAATCGCTATCCTTAACTCTCGAAATGGTATAAATCTTTTACTAAAATCTTTACACTTAACTCTCGAAATGGTATACATTTTTTTTTCTAAAATCGCTACCCTTAACTCTTGTTATGGTATAAATCTTTTACTAGAACTTTTCTAGCTATGTTAATTATTCTTTTTTTTTAATTATTTAATTTAAAAAATAATTGTGGCGTTTATTCTTATTCCGAAAAAGCTATTCCAGGGGTCT